TTGGGAAGAATCGTTAAATTGAATGTCCCACATTTTAAGACATTACAGCAAGCATCAGATATGACGAAATAAGCTCACGTTCAGCCATTGGTATGCTTTCAAGGGAAAGCAGTGCCCTAGAGACCATAATTTCACTATCTAGCAAATGTACTCCTCAATTCGCATTTGCTTGATTGCGTCGTGGAATGTTTGCATGACCACAGAGAAGCTGCCAAACTGGCCGTGCGAAACTGCCACCGTAGCAAACATACTGACTCCCTTGTAGTGCTTGAACTTGTTGAGAGGTGTCGTATTTATCGAAATGTCGTGCAGTTCGAACTGAGATGGCCTTCTCCAAAATGGTCGTCTCAGTTCAAAACCCCATGCATATGTGGAACACCCCCTTTAAACTGAGTGTTCTACATCTGAAGACATTAAAACAAACATCAAATATGATGAAAGAAGGTCACGTGTGATTATTTGTTTCCTTTTAAGTGCACAAACTCCTCTAGACAATGCAATTTCATTATTAAGCAAATATGCTCATCAATACGCCATAGTTTAATTGCGTCATGGGACGTTTCTATGACCTCAGGGGGCTGTCAAATTGGCCGCGCGAAATTTCTATCGTAGCGAACGGGCGACTTACTTGTAGTGCTTGAATCTCTCGAGAGGTAACGGATTATTGGTGTGCCGTCGACAGAACCCAAGTATAAGTTTGTGCGCGTGTTTTGTCCCTTTCTCGTGGCGCTCTTGCCTGTCAATCTGTGATTGTACGTTGCTTAATTGCATTCAAATGCTCGGTTATGACACAATTCTCAATTTATTCGCTTCACAGTTGAATTTCGTCGTATCTGGTACTACTGTCCTACTTCCTGTATTATGTAGAATAAAACGCGGCCATACCGGATCCGTTCGAAACGTGGACTATGTGCGTCACATCAATTTGCAGTCAACTGAACTTTACTGGTATCAGATACGGTACTGATTTACGCCGAGAACGAGTGACTCGACGATGGCATTGACGTTGGCCTTGAGGACCCCATGCCTAATGTGTTGGCACTGTTTGAGTCACGCTTCTACCATGCCTTGCATGCTTGGGCAATTGCATCGAGTGATACTGCATCGAATGATATTCAAAATGGCTATCCGAGTCCAAAGCCGCGTACAAATGTGGAACACTCCCTTTAACTCGGCTGCCCAGCACGCTGCAAGGTGGTGTTTTCAAAAACGGTACGCCCAGCAACACATCACGTGCTGTAGTAGCGCCAGTTGTTGAGATTTCCACCATTTGTCGCTAAAGGGCTAACGCCGCCCGCTGTAACAATCACAAACACGCACCTCTTCCTACGTCAGTCATGCCCTACAGGGTGGCGTAGGTATGCACTAGAGACGCAACTTTTGAAAAAAATATCAGCCCGCAGCCCAGCCCTCCCTACTTAGCTAGTAATCCAGTCCGCAGGGACCCGCCTAGTTAGCGATCCAGCCCGCAAAAGCCCACTGTAGTAGAATGCTGATCCACCATTTTCAGACACATACAGTACATCGTGCATGAAATGACATCTAATTGGCACCTAATACATAATATTAGTTTGCTAACAACAGTGAGGTTACTCAGAAAGCAGCAATCAAAGTACCCGCACAATGGATTTTATCATGCACCGAAGTAGATCTTAAACATTGTGATAACAGCTTTCAACTGCAAATGAGAATGGGTGGAATGAAAATGAAATTTACTTTTCACCAACACGCTTCGATGATTTACCACCCTTCTCCCTCATCTTAATGAGCCATAGTCATTTCTTTGCGATAACATGCGTCAGACGATATGTTTCCACTGACAGGATGAAGAACGCTGGATGTTTCAAGTTACGGGAAGTGTCGGTTCATTACAAAGCACGTAAACCCAGTCATCATCTGGCTGCGTGACAATTGTCACAATGCCACATTTCTCATTGAAGAAACAAAGTCAGTCACATATGCGGTGTTTACTATCCTTCAGTGGATACACCATGCAACCACACCACATAAAACCGCATAGTAGTTTTGGAATGATCCAGAGTTCTCCCTTACCACCATCCATGTTCCAGCCCTCAATCGCCGCTACGCGGTTTATGCTATGCCGCGTGAAAGGCACCTGAAAGCTAGGATGGCAATAATATTTAGTGCACGAATACTAGCCACTCCAGAGTCGTCACTGACATGTAGCAGTATCATCGAGAAGCGTGATATATTTTTGCATGCTGCAACAAAAAAACTTGCTTCTATAAAAACAAGCAAAAGTTGTTCAGACAGTCTCCAGAAAAACTTTCTACAGTTTTCAAAGCCCCAAAACTGCAACTTCCGACCTTCATAAAATGCCTCATTTACGTCATATGTTAAGATGATATTTTTCACGCAGTACTGCGTGCAGATACATTATTGGAAAAGAGTGAACACGTACGACAGAACAAAAGCCTTCGTGCAAACAATGTCGTAAAATACTAACAATTGCAGTGTGGTGGGGGGGGGGGGGGGGGAGGCCGTATCGTGTAAGTGCCCTGTAGTCGTGGTCGCAAATTGCATCTTCATCAGACATAGATGAACAAACTCTGTTCCACCACTTCTTTCAGGCTCGACAACTGCTGCGTATTTGATACGCCAGAAACTGCTGGCTATATTGGCAAGCGAGTAAAGCTGGGCCAAATTGGCCCCCAGTTTCCCATGGATATTAATGGTGATTTGATGATGATGATGATGATTTGGGGTTTAAGGGGGCATCGACTGCTGTAGATCATGTGGCGCCCTTAATGGTGATTTGAAAGGTATGGTTTTTGTGTAAGCCAAGCAAGGTTGAACGCACCACACCCTCAGAACAGCAAATGCTGTCTGTAGCTGTATTTATATTAAGGACCCACCTGACTTCTGCTCAATGAAATCAGGCTGAAGCCTGGAAAATTTGGGCTGTTATTCTTGATTTTTTAGTGGTATGTTTGTTTAAAGCCGTGCATTTTGTTTAGCTTGGCTTTCTGGTACGTCATGCCTGCCATGAGATTTCTACCACTAGCGTTCTCACCGTTAAATTAAAACATTATTGTTTCATAATTGTTTTGTGTTTGGCACCACGCTCTGGTATTGGGACGATTTTCAAACTTAAAGAATACCAAGCAAATACATTATGTTGCCTGCTAAAAATTTTGACCTGCAAAAGCCCGCCAAGTCTGGCCCATAACCCAGCCAAAAGCCTGTGGGCTCTTGCGAATCAGAAATTGGCGGGTTGGTGGGCTGGAAAGTTTGCGTCTCCAGTACGAGTCTTCTAACCACCACCCTTCAGGTTATACCAAGGTTTTGATGGCTGGTATTTGTGGTAACTTTTTTGCCATACCAATTTTCATGCCAATTTAAAAAAGATCGACAGGGAATCCCCGCTCACAGTCGCGGAGAATATGAAATACTCACTTGGATATCTTGTTTGCGCGAAAATGTCTTGTATGCGCCAAACCCCACTCTAGAAATTTAATTTTGAGATACAACGAAAAAAAAGCAGCCTAATGCTGCGTCAAAACGTTGTCCACGGTAATTCAGACCCGAAATGTCTGAAATGATTTGTATTTTACACCTCCGTCTGGCATTGCCACTCTAAATGGCTAATAGTTTGCAGGAACTATTCCCTAGATTTCATCAAAGCTTGTTTTTGAAAATGTGCCTGAAAGGTGGGCAACACCTTGAGTACCATTTCACCTTGGTCTCGAGAAAATGCCTATTACGTTATATTCTCGGGCAATCGGCCAACCTTAAGCTATGCAACGTGAGCACTGATCCCATCACTGTGACATTGTCACTTGAACTCAGCAATAAGAACATAGAAAATACTGAAAGCATAAGAGAACATGCGTACCAAGGAAAGGCTCCCCGATTATTTACAATCAAGGTACACTGGACTTACACAACACCAAAACAATGAAATTTGAGTTTAGGATTCCGTGAAGAACATTGAGACTGCACGTAAACTAATGCAAAGTAGTAAGATGAGTGGTCATTTACACATCATCCTTCTAAATTAGCATCAAGCTGCTTTTAGCGTTGTTTGTATGTTTACGAACCATGCAACAGTGTTAGGCAAGTCATAATGAAGCGGGGCTCCAACTGACCGCTAGCCATCAATGCACCACCGCAAGCATGCCTCAATCTGAACGTCAAATTCGAATTTCTTCGCGCGCTCTGTTCTAGATAAAAAAAAACTGGGAGTCGCTCTGCACTTGGCGCAGTGATCTGATAGGCATCTGACTGCGAGTCGGCATATCGGCGACGATGGCTCCAGTGCGGCACTGTGGTTGGCGTATCCCGACGCCCGATAGTGTTATCGGCTCCGCGCGTGCCGCGCTGATTGGTCGACCGGCGGGCGGCGGACCGGGCTCCGCGCGCTGATTGGCGGAGGCTGGCGGCGCGCGGCGCAGGGGGCCGCCGGCCGCTACCCGCTCAGTGCTGTGGTCGGCCCACGGGTGTGGAGGGGAGTGAGGTGGTAGGCGCCT